TTATTTCTTTCTAACTTTTATATTCGATAATAAAGTTGATCGATACATTGGAGTTATTTTGTAGATCGAGATTTTTGATGAATGAAAATTACAAGAGATGGTTTATGAATGAAGTTTGTCAAAAAATTAACTAAAATTTATCAATTGCAATCAATTTTATTGCTAGTTTTATCACTCATAAAATTAGTTCATATAAATTGGATGCGAAGACTCAAAACGAAGTGAATAACCAAATATGTAATATACAAAAAAAGCATAAAAAAACTCAAATATAATAAAATATAAAGGTCATATGTGTTGAACCTTAAAAATGCATCAGAGGTCAAATGGCTAATGAAAGGTCATAAAGAATGGGTGAGAATTGTATGTCTATTAAAAAATATAAAAGAAGATTTTTAGATTTTAACACCTGAAATTACCTAAAATTTTTGTATGTAAATAAAACGTTTCCTTATAAATTAATCGTTCATATAGCACACTTACGCATAATTAATAAGCATTTTAGCAAATAAATAAGTTAAGCTTGGTGATAATGATAATTGCTTGTTTCGGAGAGCTTGGAAAAGCAACAACACCAGCTTCTACATACAATATAATGATGCAATATAAATTTCGCTATAGGAAAGCAAATATATAAAAAAAATATAAGCTCAATTTTAAAAGTTCAAATATTCATAGATGTTTTTTAAAAAAGCACACAGATAAAGCAATAGGATAAAAGATAAATGAGACAAACCATTGGGAAATAATCTATTAAATTTGCGAAAGAGTTATTAAAATTTGTATTTACCATGGATGTTTCACATTTCAGGTCAAATAAGCAAAGTGGGAATTGAATTCTCTATAGTCTTTATTTAAGAGTGAAATAAGATTCGATTAATAGCGATGAAAAATATATGAATCGAAGACGAATTGATCACGATCAACATCACCAAGGTCGCTGAATTATTGTGTTAATATTGACTTTCAACTTCAGACTTTCAGCTTTTTTATACAAACTTTTTTTTATGGGAAAATTTATATCAATTTTGATTCATATTGATTTGATCATATCAATATTGATAATTTTAAATCAAATTAGAAAATTTGAAAAAAAAATTAAAGGTTAACAATTAATCTTTTGTTAATCCTAATGTTCTTTTTATTATCGAAATACTCGTATCACTTAAAAGATATTCAATTGCTAAGGCTATCTTCACTTGATTTAATTAGCTACAGATTAGTATTTCTGATAAAGCATATTCGACTGGCTGTTGCAATGTGACAAGAAATCAATGGAAGATAGAAATACAACTGGTTTTTTAGTACCATTGGATTTTTAAAGAGAATTCTACCAGAGGTACAGACCGAAATATGGAGCTTAAAATGATATTCCACCTTATTTCCGCTATTGTTCAGATAGAAATAAATCGAAAATTCCCACTAAATTCCTCTCCGAATGATGAATTGAGTTTAAATTTTTAATTTTACTCAATGTAAACAACTGAAAAAATAAAAATAAATTTAAAATAAATCTCTCGTGTTTAATTTTTGGGGCCAAAATAGACGAGTGATATGGTTGTGGTTAATTCGCGCCAAGCGCCATAGGCATAAGAATTTCCGACTACACATACATACAATTAATGGTACTAAATCTAAAGACAAGGAATAATATTTCTTTTACCCAATTTTTTTAAAAATTTCATCCGTTGGAATAAAAAAACTATGCAACGAAAGGAATAATTTAGAAAAAATACCAGCTTTTTTTGCGAATAAAAATCTATAATTAAATTTACTCATTCGTCGAAAAATTCTATAGATAATTCATTCGTTCGTTTATATTTCTTCATATTTTCCTTATAAAAACTCATTGTCGAATATTTTTCTCAAAATTTAAACATATAGACTGAACAAATTGAAAAATTGAAAACTAAACAATTTTTTTACTTTTTTTCAAAAAAACGCTTATCATTTCTACTCGCTGACTTGTCGGATTAGACAAATTTAATCCCTCGGTGATAGAAACTGAAATGAATTGTCAGCATTATTTGGATTTTTGCAAGACGGGCCAATCAAATTTGGAACCACAGTATCGGTGCCCCGGAACGGGAACAACAACCCATTGAGCCATCCCACTTGCCTATAATCAATTTAATATTTATTTATAAAGATTTATCATAAAGATTGTTGAAAAATATTTATAAATAAACAAAGTCATCGATGAGAGGACGGAGAAGTCTCATATTAGTTCATATTAGTTTCTATTAGTTATATAAAGGGATTTTAAGCGACGAAATGAAATTCGCCTATAGCGATTTTCGAAAATATAATATAAGAAGCGATGCTTCATCATTGAGAATTCTCGTATAAACGATGGTTAAATGATCTACGAATAATTTTTTTTAGAATAATTAAAATTCTTCATTATCGTAAAAGAAAAAACAAACGATTGTTGAAAATTCTTTCAGTCGAAAGTTTAGATTAAAATTTAAAAAAAAAACAATTGCCATATAAATCGAAACTAAAAAATTCTATAACCAAAAAGAAATTGGCTCTTATCTTTTCGATATCAACTAATAGAATAAGTAATTAAATCCTTTAGGTATTAATCATTTCTCGTTTGATTAACTCCACTGACTTCTAGTATAGTCAGAAATTTTTGCCAGGAAATCACTTAGCCATGGAAATAGAAGTGCGACGGCTCGACAGCTTAGCCAGACTATTTATATATAAAGCAAATATACCCTATAAAATATAATAAATCTATTAATTTGAAATTAGTGGAAAAAAATATTTATCATCGAATGAAATTATATACTTAATTGAGCATATTTCGTAAGTGGTGAAAAATGTGAATATATGATGAGCGAATGGGTTCGGCATTACGCTTGATTAATGATTATTATTTATGCAGGAAGTATATTAGTAAACAATAACGAAGGATTAAGCAAGCATTTGTTGGTCCATTCTTGCATTTAACCATATTAACAACACCTGGCACATTAATAAATAAATTATATTGGCATCTAACTGTGACCTCGTAAAGAACCACACAAAGCGACAGCAACGGTATAGATGAGGTCCTGAGGATATTTCTATTTTTTTTTTTGTTTTTTTGCAATAATATAATAAACAGTTCAAGATAAATAATATTTTTTAGAACAATTTCATATTATATGATAATAAGATAAGTAATAATATTTAGAATTTTGCAATAATATAATAAAAAACAACCGATAAATAATTCAAGATAAAAAAAATAAATTAAGGCTATGGCCGGGTTTTTTTGCATATTTGAAATATTAAAATAATTTAAAATTCAAAAATTCTAAAATATTGAAAATTTAAAAAATCCAAAAAAGCTAAAATAAATTTATCAAAATTTAAATAAATATAAATTTAAAATATTAAAACATTTGAAATTAAAAACTTAAAAAAATAAATTTTTGAATTATTAAAAATTTGCATATGGTATTTTTTAAAAAATAATTACCTTTAAAATCATCCAAATCCACAAACAAAAGATTTTCTATAATAATCGTTGCGATCAATGATTCGAGTTCTTTTCAATTTTACTATGATTTGCAAAAATTTTTGAATCATTTTCAAAATCCTTTTTAAAGAATCGGCAAAAATTTAAAAATATTCTCAATTGTTATCAGTTAATTTCTCTAATTCAAATTATTTTAATAATTAATTTATAAATAATTTTGAATATTTTTTTAGTTTAAACATAATAGTTTCATTGTGAGTGACTAATAAGTGTTTAGCATTTAACTAATTTTATAAGCTGTTAGTAGAATTGGAAATTTTTGCCAGAGAATTACTTGACGGTAGAAGTATAGGTGGGCTGCCAGCACCACATGAATTTTTAATAGTTTTCCTCCATTGATTTTACAAATTATTATATTTTTTACCAATATCATTTTTTATCGTTTACATTTTACCTATTTCACATCTTTTAACATTGCAAGGATAATTTTCTTACGAAATTTGAAGCCTTGAAATTTCAAAATTAATTATTAATAAATTTTATTTAATTGATCAGACGGTCGTTGCATAGAGCGATTTATTATTTTTTGTGTATTTAAACCGCTCCGCTCATATGAAATAGAAATTTATTTTATATGATTGCTTTATGGACTTCAGAAGTGATTATATCTAAACATCCACATAAGGACACTTATCTTTTTTATTAATTTTCAAGGCCATTCCCTAAAGTTTTTGTAATTCTAAAGAAAATAAGTGAACTACGATGAATATCATTTCGCTAAAAGCTTTAGCCATTCTATTCCCCATTCAGACTAATAATATCCTAAATTTTATTATAAATTCTAAATTTTCATTATTTTTAAGAGCTAATTATTTTGAAAAATTCATTAAAGAATTGAATAAATGGCAGAAATGAAGATTCTTCAATCCTCTTAAATCATAAAATTATCAGTTATCTTTCCTTGGCTCATATTTGCATATTTCCTGCAAAAGCAAATCTAATATCCATGTCAAACTAAGAAAAATCTTTACAAATCCCTGAGAAATTCTTTTGCTACTCAGTTTCAATGCACATAAATGCTAATATTGAATAAAACCATGCAAAATTTTTCACGTCTATCAGCTAAAAGCTTGTGATTTAACTTCATTCCTAGTAAAAAAATATGAATATGAATAAAAGTTTAGTTGATTCGTATTTTCGTGAAATATTTTTTAGGAAATATGAAATAACTATGAACAAAGGGAAAAAAGGAAAAAATTTGCTTACCACATTAATCATAAAATCTCATAAATTTAATTCTACTGAAGAAACCTATTTTTTTATGATACAAAATTTGTAATTGATTATATTAAGCGATAAATAATTATTGCAGAAAAATTAAATAATAAAATTGAAATAGTAAAAATTATCATAAGCACAGATGTTTGAGCAATAAATTTATCGTTGGCAAGGATTTTTTTGCAAAATTCCATAATATATAAAAATTATATAATAAAGTAATATAGACGAAAAATATGATATTCCAATTTCAAATGAGTTTTTCAATTTTTGCTTGTTTTTCATCGGGTGCATAAATAAGACCATTGTATAAGCGATAGAAACATTCATGGCAGTAAGGTTTTCGTTGATGTTCACGGTAAGTCCCGCGTAAATTAAGAGCCTGGAATTTGTCCGGAAATTAATGAAATATATTGAAGTACTATTTTTTTTTTCTACATGCGTAGAAGTGAAGCCACATAAAGACAAATAGGAACGAAGAGAATTGGTGAGAAAATTGGGTTTGAACCTAATGCACCATGCCGAAGTGCGATATCGCTGAGCAGCGAAAGTAAAGAGGTGTACAGTGAAATGTTGCCCAGTTCGGAACGCTGAGATTGAGGATTTATGTCTTGGAGGAATAAGCTATTCGAAAATCTGAGTGACTCATCTGTATTTCTAAAAGGTATTTAAATGATAAAATAACATGACAAAATTTCTCTGATTTGACAAGTCAGCAGGGCGAGCCTAATCAGCAATGATAAACTTTAAAAAAAATGGAAAAAATTAAAATAATATTTAAAGCTGCATAAATGAAATTAGGGAGTTTCACTTTCATTCCTATTTTTCACTTCTCGACGAATGGTTAGGGAAAAATTATCTTCCATTGGTAAATTATTGAATTACTGGGTAGTTTCATAATTTCATTCCATAATTTCATTTTCTATAAGCCTTTGAGTTCTCTTTTTTTCTTCCCATAATTTATTTTTTCAAGAATCTCATTTTGTTTGTCTAAAAAAAATATACCTTTTGACAATAGGTGCACATAAAATGATAAGGATGGAACTTTTGAGCGCGATAGGAATTGGGCGCCAATGCTGTAATGATTGGTCCGGAAATTTCTTCTGAACAAAATGCGCACAATGGCAATGTGCTTGGTTGTGGTGATCCCTTCAAGATTTATAAAACTATATTTCATAAATTATATATCGAAGACTAAGGGTAAATTTCATAAATGAAACAGGTTAGCGCGTTCGCCTTATAATTTCCATGGAGAAGAATCTTTCTTTACTTTCACTTATTTTCCAAAAATAAGTTGGTCTATTCGATAATTATTGTAAAGTTACCTCAATATTAATGGTCCTTCTTGGCGTTTCAGATCTTGCACGCTTTTTCCAGCTTCCACTAAAAATCATTATCTGTTCAAAATGCTTTCTTGTTATAATATTTTGTAATTTGAAAGTAACTTACTTACCTTCTGATGCTAAGGAGGAAAGGAAACATTTAGCGCGATTTTTAGGAGAAAATGAGCAAATTCCGATAAAAGCTTACAAAATAAAAAAGCTATTGGCTTTGAGAAGCAAAATTTAAATGGATTAAATTAGGAAAAGATTAAATGTGCTATAGCCTTTCTATTTAGATAGCAACAAAATAATTGGATTAAATTTATCGCAACCAGAATTATAAAGGGATTACGTTTGAGATTCGATCATTTCTACGCCATAATCGCGTGAAACTTGCTCCAATGTAAAACTATCTTCAGCAGCTATAAAAATTTGGATTATTTATTCTTATCAGTTTATCAGCTAGAATAAATTCTCTAGAGAAGATGAAAGGGTGCAATGAATATATAACTTTCAACGAATTTTATTTTTGAATTTTTAAAATAATACTCCCAATTTATTTTCAATATTCGAGATGAATTTGTAATAATTGCCCAATTACAAATTTTATTTCTATGTTGATCATTTGCGAAAAAAAATAATAAATATTGAAAATAATAATTTACATGACTAATAAATTTGAAAAAATATAATTTATATTATTATATATTTAAATTAAAGATGCATTTATTCTATATTTAAATATGTATAACTTTTACATATTTATTTAATATGTATATAATTTATATGATATATAATATATACATATATATACATATATAATGTGTACGCTGAAAGGCATAACCAATTAGCTGGCATTGTCTACGAATATCTGCTCAATATATGGCTTATGGTTCAATATATGGCTTATGGCCTTCTAAGATCACTCGGAACATTCTTCAAGAAAATAAAAATAAGAAAATAATAAGACCAAATAATAATTGAAAATAATAAGACCAAAATCCTGTGAATCTTTCTGCAGACAGGCAAACAAGTACTGGCCAATCAAACAGATATTGTAATAATAGATAAGACCGAAAAATCAGCAATAAATCGGTGAAAAAATAGATATAGCAACATTTTTTAGCAAATTTTATAAATTAAATGATAAGAAAATTACGAAAAAATATGAAAGACCAGAGAAATACCATGGACTGAAAGTTCAGCTAGAATATGGAAGGAGAGAAGATGTGAAAAATGATGGTCAGATTCCAGTCACCTCAGTGGTAAGAAGAACATTAACATCTATAATCCTAAATTAGAAAAGTGATTCCAAGAAAGTCCAGGAGCAACATCAGATTTTTCTACACAGAAGAATGCACTGCTAAAAATTAAGATACTGCATAGAATCTTCCAAGACTCTAGCAGAGGGATCGAGGTTGAAGATGATCCATATCACCCACGGTGAATTTTTTATAGATTAAAAATATATATAAGGAAATATGAATATTATTCAAAATATGGAATAATTTAGTTTCATTTTTTCAAAAACTCTCATAAAGGTATATATTATATATTTAGTCATATATTTAGCAAATTTTATAAATTTATAAATTTTTTAAATTTTATAAATTTCGAAAGTACTATATAAAAATGAATATAATATAAATGAAAAATAGCTATAAAATATTGTCGATTTTTACCGAAGAATAAGTCACTAACGTGGTCGTGATTTTGGTGAAGGAAATGGAGGATTATCTTCCTCTGGACCGGGTGTTAATCGTAATTTGTACTCAATTTCTCCTCCTTCTTGCTAAACACTTTCTTTCATTAATTATTTAAGAAAACAAAAAATAAAAAATAAACAGTTATTCAATCTAAAGTTAAAGCTATTACTACAAAACTCTTTAATTTCTTAGTTCGGTCCTTACTTTCGCAATAAAAGAAAATTAAACATCATTTAATTTTACAAAAGTTTATAGTTAACGAAAATCCGACAGTTTAAATGTTCTATACCATTATTTTGCAAATTATGCTGGTTATATAAGAAAGAATACAGGCGCGGCACCAACAAAGCACGTATTATAGACAAGCAAAAAGCAAAGATGAATGCCGAAATGCCCTTGGGCATTATTATTATTGTTATTATCTGATGATTTAATACATAATAATTATCATTTCAGTAATAATTATCATTGTATAATTCAGTATAAATAAGTTTTTTAAAGTAAGGTCAACGTACATCTTTTTTCTTTTTCTTCATGGATCCTCGACGAAGAACTTCGGCTGTTGCATCAATATCATATACCAGTGCTGCTAATGTATCTGTCACTGCGTTTTGCTCTGAAAAATTCCCGTTTTAAAACTGCGTTTAATTTTAGCAGTTAAAAATAAAAATAAAGAATAAATTATTAAAGAAGTTAAACGGAAATGAAAAAAAAAATTTATTTGTTTACTTTGATCATCTCTAACTTTGGTGAGTTCTTTCTGCATGTCCTCAGTGCTAACTGATTTAAGTCGGGTTCTTAACCAGTTTTCGGTTGTGTCGGTAAAAATTTGACCAGTCACATGCATCTCGGTTTGTAAAGCTCGTTTCTCAATAATCTGCAAATTAAAAATTCTTAAATTCCATTAAAAATTATCTATTTCAAAACCCAATTGTTTCTTAAGAGCCCTCATAGAGTATTATTACTTGTGAGACTGCTGGTTTATCGCGAAAAGCTAGAGGAGTCTCCTCGGCGCTAGAAGTACAGGTGAGTCAACATTACCGGATTTTTGGACAATTTTGCTTTTGCGAATTGTTCTTCTGTGAATTCTGTGAATTGTGAATTCCTGATTTAATGATTTCTATTAGTATAGTTTTGAATTTGTTATAACTTATAAGAAAGCTATAGGTTTAAAAATACGCATCATAGGCGAAATAAATAGAATTATGGGCTATTTTATCGAAGTGGAAACTGGCAAATAATGAGCTAATAAATTATCCGAAAACATCAATAATTAATGAATCAATTCGCTAAGATATGAATCGCGATAGCTTTATAATTTTATAGCTTTATAGACTATAACTGCATAATTTTCTCATAAATTAAATATTGAAACTACCAAAAATAAATTTCTAAAATTTTATAAGTTTTTGGACATTGGAATAGATGGTTCTATTATATTGGCTATTGTTGATGGTACTAAAAAACAGGTTTGAGGTTTTGAGATATCTAAGACATTGACATTGTGAAAAGACTAGGACTCTGCGTGGTGAATAAACTTTTCATTGAAAAATCTGTAGTGTCATCGCCGCATATTTTATTTTTTATACTTGTGCTTCTATCGCTAAGCGATTCGCTTGCAAAAAACCATTTAATTAACAACCAGCGAAAAATTAATTAACCTATATTTACTATAAATAATAGCATTTTTAACAAACAAACAAAAACCAACATTTTCGTTATGTTTTTTGCGGATGAGTTCGGTTGTCGCATTAACTCCATCAACCATGGTATCCAAAGTGTCTTGCACCACTCCCACATCTAGGAAATATTATAGATATTACAGGAATAAATTCAGCAATGGTATGTATATTCGGTGAAGAAATAGTAGAAAAAGATTCTTTCGATTATGAAACTTATGGTGCATCTGTTATTGTAAATGATAATCGACTCAAAAAAAAACATTTCTTGATAATTTAATCCTCTAGAAAACTAAAGGCTTTTTTTTATATTCTTGAAAAACCAACGATTTAAGGGTATATATTTGCTAGAGCTTCTCGATTCTGATCTTTCTTCAGTCCTCCATTGATAATTTTGTGATAACGAAGGTGGTGATATGGAGGCCATCAGCTAAAATTCATTTGACACTATTTCATTTTATAATTCGAGAAAATTTTTCTAAAGAACAAGAAATTCGATCGTTTAAGGAATAAAAAAACGCTTTTTGTAGATATTTTTGTTAAGAAAAAAATTTAAAATTTCTACTTTCATAATTTTTTCGATGGAATTCTTTTTTCATAAAATTTCAATGTTTAAGAATAATTTACGAGCGAAAAATTTAGAAAATTTAAAAATCTTCGATTATTTTATTGTAAAAAATTTTTAAACCCTTCTTTTTTCGCTTGTTCTATGACGTTTAACAACGATTAGCTTTTGTTGCAAATTGAATACAAATTATTCAATTTTAATTTTATTAATGTTTAATTTCTAAAAAAAAGAGTAAATCTGTCATTTGAGCATTTCCAATTCAAGCAGCATTAAGTGATTGCCTGTCAAAAATTTCGAACTAACTAATTTTAAGAGAATTAATCTACCCACAAATGATGCCCATTTCTGCAATAATTATTTATACAACACAAATGGAAATAACTATTGAAATACTTACATTTGATTTTTATTGAGAGGCCTTTTAGTTTCAATTTTTAACTCCTTTATAACTCATAAAATAAATCTAAAGCAATAAAACAATAAAAAAGAATTTAAAATTTATCGAAATGAGATTAATTAAAGATGTTGATTTCTTAAGAAAACTCGTTTTTGCCAAAAAAAATCTCTATTCACTGGTTATCCGATGAACAATAATTTTTATTTCTGGCCGGAATTTCATGAAGAAAATTCGAAACAAAGAGAAAGGAGTCACCAAAATAAGAAAATCGAATAATTGTTAAAAAATTTATCATATTAAATTTATCATATTATATTAAATATTATCATTAAAATAATGCTATAATAATTACGATTATAAAAAATTCCATTTTTAGGCGCTTCATAATCACTCACTCAATTGGCTAAAAGATTTGTTTGGGATTAGCTGATTGAATTTATTTAAATAATTAATTTTCTACTAAATGCAATTAATATTAATCCAGAAAAGCAAGAAAAAACTAGGAATGAGACTATTAATTCTATAATGGAACATAAATTTGATGGAAAAAACATCGTTTGGAATGTTTCAATTATAGAATCAATGTCACATTGCCTTTGAGTTGATAAAATGACATTTTCTCGTTAGACTCGCTTTGCTAGCTTCTCTGAATAGATGAATTTTTGCCTAAAGAGAAAATTTGGCGATAGAAACATTCCAATGATAGGCACTAGTCGGGTATTTTTCTTTGACAACAACTTTTCTCTTGTTAGGAATAAAACCCCACTAAGATTGGCACTCCGAAATGGGGCAAAAACCCATTAAGCATTTTACCCCTAAAAAAAAATAATAAACTTTTGCGAAAATGATCGATGAAAAACGAATTTCTCAAAAAATTTAATCATTAGCATTGAAAGAAATAGTTAGCGAAATTTAAACCGTTTGCTGACAAAGTGACAAACGAGTGGTATGAGCGTGATAATAATGAAGTCTTAGTGTAATGTTTGAGGACTTAAAACATCCTAGAACCAATAAGCATCTCAGACAACAGATAGCATTTTAACTGCAACTGCTTCTGCATTAGCATCGCTATTAGTATATCTTTGCTGTTCTATTGACGATATTGCTGAACAGGATTGAAAAGAACAACAATATTACACATTATAAGCACCTTTCTTTGCGAAGAAAACGACCACAAATTTATCAAGAATTTTTAAATTTACAGTTATTATATTTCATATCTTGTAGAAAGAAAAATAAAACTATAAACAATAAAACTATAAATATATCAGCCATTTAGAAAAAATATATAAGATATGAACTAGTACAGTCAATCAACCAACAAAAATTGTTAGACTATCATTCTTAATTTTGCTAACAACCCTGGCTAGGCTGAAGCTAAGCTCTTCGCCACAGAGCCACTTCCAGACAGAAACCCTAGCTACTACTCGGATTATTCTACTTAGCAAAATTTAATATCATGATAATCTTTCAAGACAAAATCATGTCTTATATTTTCTTATTCGCAAATGAATGAAAATCATGCTCCTTTATCCTTGATATGAGGTATTCAGTGATTCTTCTTCCTTATCTTTTAACAACTCGCACCACTGCTATTTAGGGTGACTCTGCTGAATAGAATGGTAGTGCGTAAGCTCTCCCACCTCGACCATCTAATGTGCATATATCGTTCGGCTGCCAATACTTTCAAAATCTCTCCCAACTGTTAAAAAATATGAAAATATTGATAGCAAATTGAATGTAAATTCTTAACTTTCATTTAAACAAAATAATGTTAATGAATTGGCAAAATTATTATGAAAAATTATTATCGAAGAAAAAACCAACTTTTCGTAATCATCATCGCATCTTATTTTTCAGCAACAACAAAAGCTCCATTTAGCCTTTAAACATATTTTTTTTAAAACACATCTTTTCGAAGCGATTCATTTTTTTTTGCTTTATTGATCAACGATGAGAAAATCATCAAAAATTTAGAGGAAAAATTGCTAATCCTTTATTGATCTTATCAAAAATTTATTTATTCGCATATTTTTTAAATTAGAATTTTTTTTCAAAATTTGGTAATTTAATTTGTATAAAATTTGATAAATTATAAATTTTACTAGTTAACATAAACTTATTATTATTATGAATTACCATTTGTTCATAAATTTTAAAAGAATCCATAAAAATCATTTCCTTAAAATTTCTGATAAGGATGAAGTAAGTAAATGATTGGCATTTATTATTTTCGGTCAAGCTCGCTCCATAGACTATGATTAGAATTGAGGCATTAGTCACCAAGAAATAAATTTGTAGATAGGCAAGTAGAACCGGATTTTTCAATGATAAATTTCCATTAACTGAACCATGTCTCTTGAGCTGATAATCTAAGTAACATGCTTTTGGCCCTATATTGTCGTTGCCAAAATACCAAAATCGTTTTCCAAATGATTGTCGCCAATGAATTTTAATGAACTGGTTATATGGAAATAAATAATTACATAAAATGTGTGAATAACGAAGCATAAATTAGAGATTTTGCGAATTTTACATTAAAATAATTGATAATTATTAAGATAATTTAAAAATTTAAAAAATAATTGATAATTATTAAAATAATTTACAATTTATCAATTCTGTGTTGCTATTGCCTTTTTTTTCTAATTTTTTTCCGATATCGGGCAATGAAAACATTTTCATAGATTTCTCGCTGTATTTTCACAAATTTTCATTCTTATTTCTATGGCTTTAAAGCTGTAAATAATTTTTCACTTTTGCTAAACTACTTTGGTATATGGAAAATATAGAATATGGAAAAATTCAGTGCAAAAATAAACATCATTTTTTTTATTTTATAAGATAGTTGAATGTTATATCAGTTATCAATACCAATTTATATTTTTCCATGTCTACTTCTCCTGTGGATATAGTGCGATCCATTCTTAATCTCAGCTTTTTGATTAGAAACCTGAAAGTTTGAAGGTTTAACACTGTATTTGTTGCGTCGCAATACGTTCTTCTAGGCAGGCATCTAATGCTCTATTAGAGTTAGCTTCTCCAGCTTTTTCCTTGGGTCACAAGCCAACGATGCTAAGGCCACTTTGGCTATCGCTTTTCACGTCTTCTCTAATTCCTCCTTCTATACTGCTCCAGCTTCTCATATTTTTTCTAACCAGCAATTATGAGAACTTTTAAAAGTTAAAAGTTATATATCTGCTAAGCACGCATTTTCAACGATGAGAATGCTAAAAAAAAAATTGATTTTAGAAAAAATTTAAATAATTGATTTGTAGTTTGATTTGAAAATATTATGGCTGTTCATAGAAAACGGTAGGAAAATTTCGAGAAAATAACAATTTAATCGAAATTTGATATTTTTTGTTTAAAATTTCCAGCTTTTTTATAACTAAAACTGTCATTTGCGATCGTTATCTTTTTCATTTTTAAGTTTTTATTTCAATATTTTTATTCTATGTTTTTTATATTTATTTGATAATTATTTTAAAGAAATTATTATCAAATTATTAAAGGAAATATTTTCATATTTCACTGAAAATAATAATATTATTTTATTAAAATAAAATATTTAAAACTATTGAAATTTTTAATTTTTAAACAATAAACAATAAAATCATCAATTCCTTTTTCCCTTATGGCAAAATCTATGTAATTACAGTTATTCTTTTTATCATTTATTTATTTATTTTTATCATTAAGTAATTGCTTTCTGTACGAATTATTTTTTTTGTAAAATTGCTCATTATTTCTGGTTCTGCTCGCTCCGCTGACTTGTCAGAACAAATCTCTTTTCTGAGAAGCCATTTAGCGATAATATAGGTGAATCGCCAGCATTATCTGGATTTTTGAAAGGTAGATTTGCTCCTGTGGAGTACAGAATCTTATAATCGCCATCTCGAAATGAGAGTAGCAATCCACTAAGTTGTTTTATTTTATTTATCACTTCTATTCTAGAAATTAAAATTTTTTTTTCGCTATATGATAATAATTTTAAATTAAATATTTCGAAGATTTATTTTTAAGCAAATATAATTTTAGTTAATCCATTTAATCCACTTGATTTTTCGTCGATTCTTATAATTTAATTATCCATAAAAGATTTCTTAGCAAAAGATCAATTA